GACCTGTTAACTCAGCAGTGGGAAAAGAGTTAAGCCTAGCAAGAGTGAAAACACGTCTATAACTAGGTATTTTTAGGGATCTAGTATATGGAGGAAGAGATTCCGGAGGAGGAATACCCAAGGCAAGAGTGGACCATACATGTCTTGCTTGAGCCAAAGGACTAGCCCGATCAAGATTAATCACCTTCATTCTGGTCTGCTTTAGGGCTTCCTGATAAGTCAAATTATTCCATACTGTTGGAGGAAAGCCCAATGACTCAAGTCTAGCATCTAGATACCTTTCCCAGCTAGAAGCAGGACCCTGGTCGCACAAGCCGTCGGGTGGCAAGAACGGCATCCATGAAACAACACGGAAGCAATGTGGACTGGGCCGAGCTGACCTTAAAACAATCCCACGGCCTCTGGGCCTCTGTTGCTGACTTCACCCCAGCCCTCCCCCAAGCATGAGTCTGCCGAACGACCCTTACAGCAACCGGCTCCATCCCACCCCACCCCCCAACAACACCACCCACCTGCCGTGGGATCGGGGAGGCTGCCTTGTTCTTCCGAGTCCTGCTCGTCCCCCAGACACGAGTCCGCACCGGGCTCCGACTGGGATAAGACCCCCGGCTTAGAAATTGCATAGTCTGTTGGAGGAAGAGAAACAAAGTGCCACCAGATCAGAATCACTGCCCGAAACCCCACTGCCCCACATCCCCATGAGTCCAAGCTGGCGCAGCTGCATTTGGACAACAGAGCTTTCAGTAGGTTGCAATCGATCCCCCCAAAACCTCTGTAGGAAACGGAGGCTAGAAACAAGAAACCCAGCAGGGCCAGTCCGAGGCAGTGTTCCCTCTAAGATGAGTTAGTGTGAGCCAGCTCACAGTTTTTTAGCCTCTGGCTCACACATTTTTGTCTCGGCTCAGGAAGGATGGCTCCAGAGAAAACTAATTTATGCAGTAGCCAAATTGCTTGTGCACAACTTTAATGCCAGGAGCTCACAAAGTAGAATTTTGGCTCACAAGCAGTGTTCCCTCTAAGCTGAGTTAGTGTGAGCCAGCTCACAGTCTTTTAGCCTCTGGCTCACACATTTTTGTCTTAGCTCAGGAAGGATGGGGCTCCAGAGCAAACTAATATATGCAGTAGCCAAATCGCTTGCTCACACAACTTTAATGCCAGGAGCTCACAAAGTAGAATTTTGGCTCACAAGCAGTGTTCCCTCTAAGCTGAGTTAGTGTGAGCTAGCTCACAGTCTTTTAGCCTCCGGCTCACACACTTGTCTTAGCTCAGGAAGGAGGGCTCCAGAGCAAACTAACTGATGCAGTAACCAAATCGCTTGCTCACACAACTTTAATGCCGGTAGCTCACAAAGTAGAATTTTTGCTCACAAGACTCCACAGCTCCGAGGTACTGTGCTGCCCCAAGCAAAGATACCCCATCCCCACATTGGCTTGGCTGCAGTGCACACCCAAGAAGCAGTGCCGGTCACCCTCGGAGCTGCTGCTGATC